GCTTATTATCTTTCATATTACTACATGTAAACAGTAGTGTTAGCTACTTTGAAGCACGTATAGCCTATATTTAGTAGTCACGTTCACAGCAGAAACTTCCATTATCCTCTTAGATTTAAAATATTTTATGGTTTCGTTCATCAAGGCATATTTTAAGTACATTTTACATTTAAGGATATTTGTGTAACTGTAGCATATGATTATACTTGAAAAAAAGAGTAAAATGTACTGATAATTTTCTGTCAGGACATAAATTTTCTCTTATGGAAATATGGAAATTAACAATGGTTTTACTATAGTAAAAGTGCAGTAACCATGGATTGATTGTCATTTTTTTAACCCACAGTTTAACTACAAATATATGGTTAAAAGGTTAGTGTAATAAAATCATGGTTAATTTTAATGTGTTTTCCGATAAACCTATAACACAATGCAGTGCAAAATTAAAAATGCATCATATTGAATTTACATACACTGTCCCTAATTTTTAAAGAGTTTTTTTAAATTAATTAAAATTTATTTATTTATTTAATTTGGAGTGTAGAGAAAAGCCTTACAAACCGTATCCATTATATAAAATTGCAATGTTAAAGTTAAATAACAACGTTTCCTTTACTAGAGACAACAAAAATCCCATATATATACTAGGCTATTTAATAATAGTTCAAATTTAAAATGGGCAATATTGTGCTGAATGTAGAACGGTATTGTAAATTTATTAAAGTCTTATATATTTTATATTTGCAGTTTTTCAAAGTACAACTGTTTACATGTAGAAGAAAGGTAAGTAAAATAAATGTAATAACTTAATACTGATCTTCATTATGTTATGTGCAGGAAAAAAACACAAACTTCTACGGAGAGTAATGTTCGCGCCGCACTGTCAGTTCGGTGGCGCTAGTAAACACGTCATCTCTGCGCTGTCGAGTCGGTCGCGCAGCTCGGTCTAAAAGTATTCATTTGATCAATTTTACTATTCAATTTAACTTTACTATACTATCTTTTAGATTTTTTATTTATTTTATTTTTTTTATTAATCCTGCACAGAACTTAAGCTTGCATCATCACTAAAATAAATGAATGAAATAAATAAAAAATTCTCAATGATTTGGTCAGTCGACCTTCCTCAGACTTAAGCAACGTTGACCAAAATATTGCAAATTTGTGTGCAATATATATATATTTCTATGCACCTAAATATACAGTATTTTAAGGCGAGACACTGCAGGTGAATAGGATAAAGAAATTAACTAATAGTCCTCACCTTACTTATCCAGTTGATTGATTACATTGATAATTGCAAACATTTTTTGTATTACAAGTTTTCTAAAATGTTATGTTTAAATATGCAAATGAGGCATTGTTTAATGAAATATGCACTAATTTGCATACATTTCTAGTACAAAAATCTGAACACTGGATGATGTCAGTTTCAAAATTCTTGTTTAATTTTTTTGACATATTAGAGTCAAATAGAGGGAATTCTGGGTATCTCTTTTTGTCACTCCATAATTCAGAAAATACTTTGAACAGCCAGAAAACAATCTATTTTCACAATTTTGGGGGGAATAAAATGTTGTATATAATCAAGAAAATGATATATGAACAAATCCCTCTGTAAAAACCTTCAGGATATAGACAGGAATAAAAATGTAAAGTTTGGGAGATTTATGGCGCACTGTTGGAGAAAAACATTTTCTCATTTGGAGAAAACGGCCTTTAAAAATATGTATTGTAATTGAAATCTATTGACACAAATAGATAAAGTGCTATAAAAGAAACACTTAACAGTGTCTTTTGGATGTTTTCTTTCCACTAGTCTGAAAAAACACTTTATGAAAAGCCAAAAAGCCCAAAATCTAAAAATGGACAGGTGCATGAAAAAAGTGTTTTTGCCTGCAGTGTCTCCCCTTAAATATAATATGACCTACCATTTTTTTTTAATATATTGTTCTGTAATCATTGTTGTGTTGTATTCTTTCTTTTTGTTCATTTGTGATGACTGAGGCAGATTTCTGATCCGTGTCTGTCTCCTCTCAGGTGTGTGTATGTGGGAAATCCTCATGTTCGGCATCAAGCCCTTCCAGGGTGTGAAGAATAACGACGTGATCGGGCGGATAGAGAACGGCGAGAGGTTAGCGATGCCCCAGAACTGCCCTCCGACCCTCTACAGCCTGATGACCAAATGCTGGGCGTACGACCCCAGCAAACGGCCGCGCTTCACCGAACTCCAGACGCAGCTCAGGTCAGTGTGTTACTGATGCTTCTCCTCGTTTCTGAGTCATTTCAATGGAAATTTCTAAGGAAATCAGGATGCTTTTGTTGTTCTCTGGTTCTGACACTAGAGGTCTCTGCTTAGCTTTCTGTGTCACAGCTCAAGTACACCATTTAGCATTCACTGTCCTGCATCACACTTGCTGAGTGAAATTCTACTAGTTTTGTGCTGCTAATTCCAAAAATAGTGGCTTTTTTGCTATAGCATTGTCACACTTTCACACAAAATATTATGCAATTTGTATAACATTTTTGTTTTTGACAATCATTTGATAGGTGCAGATGTCTTGTATTATCACTTAATCACATAAACGTAATTATCACTACGAAAACGAGTATTTATTCATTAACTTTGCCGTTAAATAAAGCAATTGCACATTTTTACCACTTCTTTTGCAGTTTGTAAATTAAATTATATATTTTGAATACTTCTTTTTGTCTTTAAAATAAAGCTTTCGGCATGTGACTTCTTTTGTTTTGATAAGTGCATTAAAGTGGATACGTTTATATCATTTGAAAAATCTTTAGTCTTATTTTGTGAAAAAGAAAACTGTATTTGTTGAAATGTTTTTTTTATATATGTGACCCTGGACCACAAAACCAGTCATAAGGGTACATTTTTTTAAATGGAGATGTATACGTGATGTGAAAGTTGAATAAATGTGCTTTCCATTGATGTATGGTTTGTTAGGATAAGACAATATTTGGCCGAGATACAACTATTTGAAAATCTGAAATCTGAGGGTGCAAAAAAATCTAAATATTGAGAAAATCATCTTTAAAGTTGTCCAAATTAAGTTCTTAGTTATGCATATTACTAATCAAAAATTAAGTTTTGATATATTTGTGGTAGAAAATTTACAAAATATCTTCATGGAACATGATCTTTACTTAATATCCTAATGATTTTTGGCATAAAAGAAAAATCAATAATATTGACCCATACAATGTATTTTTGGCTATTGCTACAAATATACCCCAGCGACTTAAGACTGGTTTTGTGGT